GCAGTGTTTTGAGCAGGTGCGTGGCAGCAGTGGGCTGCAGTCGGGCTGCCCACTGAAAGGCCGCCAGTCATTCAAACCCACCAGCCGCTCCTCACGAGGCCAACGAGGTAGTCTGCTTCCGTGAAGGCTCGCAGCCTCGGGAATAACGCGGAGCAGTTCTGTAAGCTCAATGGAGTGGTTATCAGCACCCTCTCTGCAGACCGATGGGCACCTTCCAGAGAAGGATGAGAAGTGAGGGGGTGGGGGGGTTGTTCCAGAACCTTCTGTACGGTCTCACATACACCTGACGGACTGTTCAGCGGTAGCAGGGATGGATGATGGGATGATGTCCCGTTTCTTGTTTGCTCCCGGTAGATTTCTGTGTTGAACGATCATTGAGGTCCAAGCCTGGACTCAGCCAAGAGCGATGTTTCTCCCCACCATGAAATCGTGCATTACCTTGGCAACCCACTCAGCGCCTTTAGATAGAGGTGGCGGCTGGCGCAGGAGTGGGGTGTCTCTCTAGACTTTCCCCCTTCTCCATGCTGCTCCAATGAACCCTGCATCTCTGTCGCTGGCCCAGAGGAGCTGGGCGGGGGGAGCTCAGGCCCCAGTCCCCACGTGCTTGCTTAGGGCAGGTGCCATTCACCACCGTCTCCAGGCTGCGTGTGACACCCTGTGTCTTCTGCAGCAAAGGTGCCAGAGCGGTGGCTGTTGAAGCCCCTACTCCCTGCAGCCCTGAGTCCCACAGGGGGACAGCTGGTCAGGGCCTGCAGCACCCCCACAGCCGGCGGCAGGCTTGAGCCCCGTGTTGCAGCCCTCGTGTCCATCCATCCCATGAAGGGCCTTTCCCCTGGCTCACAGACCCCCCTCCTGACCAAGCACGCTGTCCCTCTCCACGGACCAGGCCCTCCTGGTGACGACGGGTCCAGGGAAAACGAGATGAGGCCTCTCCGTCCTGGGTTCTCAGGAGCATCACTGTCCTTAGACTACTGTCCCCTGGCCGTCCACTGTGGGCTCTGGGATCCGAGGGGCAGATGGCCCTCGATGTGCCCAGACAGGGTGGACGAATGACCACTTGGGAGCCCCCAGGCGTCCGCCCAGGG